TCCTCAGGAACAGAACCTGGCCAGTGGACGATGCAGTCTTGAGATGTTATAGTTAGCACGAGACCTTCCTGAGCTCCTTTCAGTGGCATTCTAAGCACCGGATCGAGGGATCCTTCGGTCCGTGCCTGATAAGATTTCGCCATGTTGTGGAGTCCGAACGGAAAAGGACCTGACTTCTTGAAAGGACTCTGAGTGTACTCCGAGTTGTATTCTTGATAGGCCGAGGGCGCGTTCTGGAGCCCCACCGGAAAAGAACTCGGACTACTCTCAAGAGAACTCTGAATGTTTTCTGAGTTGAATCCTTGATAGGCCAAGGCCACGTTCTAGAACCCTACCGGAAAAGAACTTGGTTTCTCGAAACAACTCGGGTAAGACTCCATCTCGGATGCGGAGCCTGAGTTTGAGTCGGATGCGCAAAGCCGTGAAATCTGAGTTGGATCGGACATCACGAGCTACGCGAATCTTTCGGCGAGTTGATCTGTCGTAGTCGTCGAAATAGAAAGGTCTTCATGGTGATCCGAATCTTTGAGGAGATGGCTTTGGAGCTTGCCATCGTCGCCTGCCTCGCAGATCCATGAACCGAAGATGAAGGTTGATCCCGTCGAGAAGATCATGTTGTCGAGGTCCGTCGAGCTCTCGGATGCAAATTTGCCGAAAGCCCCTACCTGGCGCGCCATCTGTTGATGTTTTACCACCGATAGCCTGCCACGGGGGTACCCGGGGCAGTTTGTTCGGGCTTCAGCGTATGTAGAACTCGACGGTAAACGCAAGAGACAGTCGATTTATCCTGGTTTGGGCCCTCGACCGTGATCGAGTAATAGCCCTATGTCCAGTTGACGTTAGCCTTTGCGTTGGATTGATTGTCAACTGTCTGTCTCCAGGAACCCCGCTCTCCTTTATATAGTCAGGAGGCTGGAGTCCTAGTCGATTTACAATGAGAGTTCCTAGTAGGATTATAGAATAATACTACTACTAAGATTACATGAAAAGAATCCTAGTTAGACTAGATCTTCTCTCTTCCTTGTGGGGTATCCCGTGGGTCCCGCATCGACACCCCCACATGCCTCTGGGCATCAACGGTATGGCAGGCACCGACATCTGCTATACCAGAAGAAGACGATACAACCTCCCACATGCATCTGATGTTAACAGTGTTATGGGCACCTATAATCATCTTGTACCCGATGGCGTGAGCAACAAGACTTAGCATACGTATACTCTGCCTCTCTCACTTATAAGGCCATCCCCTTCATCTATAAAAGAGGATGTGCTCTCTCCCAACAGGGGAGGAGAGGATCAGTTCAATCACTCACAACAACAGAACCACTAGGTTCAAACCTTGAGCACACGCTTAAACACTTAGCACACGTAGGAGCTCCCATCACTCTCGGCCCTTCAGACCAGAGTCCGACCGGACCTCTTGCACCTCCATCTTACTCTCTCTCGTTTGTAACCCCACAGCAAACTTTGAGCACATGAGCTCAGGAATAAAGTCACCGACCAACTCAAGCTGAACATAGGGCACGTTACCTGAACTAGTATAAACCCTGTGTCATTGAGTGTTAGGCCACATCCGATCACAACGTACAGTAAAACTACAAATATTTACGTGTTGGTCACTTTCTGCACCGACACAATGGGAGGCAAACACCCTAAAACTATCATAACAGACCAGGATAAAAGCGATGAAAGCAGCTATTCAGGAGGTGTTCATAGATACAAGGCACAAAAACTGCTTGTTTCACATCAAAACAAAATGCTACTTGAAGAATATCAAAATATTTGCAGCCAAAGATGGCCTCTATGAAGAATTTGAAGTCATGGTGAACAATAGTTTGACAGAAGAGGAATTTGAGTACTTGTGGGGGAAGATGATTGTGGAAAGACAGCTACAGAACAATAAGTACTTCACGAGGATGTGGGAGACAAGGGAAAGATTCATCCTAGATTACTACAAAAATGATTTCTTACCTTTCATCCAGACCACATCAAGGAGTGAGGCTACGAATGCAAGATTCAAGGAGAATGTGGGGCTGACCTACAATATTATCAGCTTCTTGGCAGAGTACCAACGCATAATAGACACAATAGACAGAGCAGAGAATCTAGAAGACCACTACAGCGCCCAGAAAAGGCCGAAGGAACTACTGTTTGGCTACACATTTGAGAGACAAGCACAAGAGTTGTACACCAGGAACATATACAAAAAGTTTTAGGTACAACTCAAAGCTACATCAACAATGACTTACAAGGAAATTCAAGAAGGCAAAGTGTTTGAAGTGTGGCAAAGAAGTAACCAGGTTCAGAAGCAACAAAGGATAAGAAGATACATAGTGCTTACCGACCTCAGTCAAGGGGAAGGAGAATTCAATTGCATCTGCGCCAAATTTAACAAAGACGGCATCCTCTGCTCACACATCTTGAAAATAATGATAGAAAAGGAAGTAAGCAGGATACCAGAAAAATACATAATAAATAGATGGAGAAAAAGAGATGTGAGATTGGTCAAGGAAAAAATAGAAGAGAAGACAGTGGCAACAAGTTCATTGCTCAGGTTCAATGTACTATCAAGAAAATCTACAATTCTGAATTCAAAAGCAGCTCAAAAGGAAGAAGCAACGTCGTGGAGCGCATCCACGTGGTCTACTGCTATGATGTCCTGGTCGACGAGCAGGAGAGCTTCAAGGGCAGCCACATCAAGGTCATCGACGCGACCATCAGACGCATGGCCAAGGACCTGGGCTCGTCCTCCACAGAGACACGCAAGTTCAAGAGCACCCCTGCGCGCGTGGAGCCCGAGTGGTTGCGCGCCATGGTGGCTGCACTCGGTGGCCATGCGCCTCTCGGGCTAGGAGCATCCTCAACGGCCACGACCGCCCCGGTGTGCCCCGGCGGCCACGGCAGGGCTGGCGTGCCCCTACGATCGTGCCTGCGCTTCGTGTCCCAACGGTCGAGCACCCCTGCACCCGTGCACGTCAACTAGGGGCAAACTGAGATTTCATCCATGTTGGGGTCCACCTAGAGAGGTGAAGCCTATTGAAGCTATTTTTTTCTCCAATCTCAGCCTATACCTATGCAAGTGCAGATTTTAAGGGGCTTCATTAGTGAAGTTGTTTCATTTTACTCTGCTAGGCGAAAAATGGCTCCCAATGGCTCTTGAAACGGGGTGGAGAAGCTCTACCAAACAGAGCTTAAGTTAGGTCTCTTATAACACACGAACATATTTTATTGATAAAATAATAATAAATAAAAATAGAGGATTTCCACAAATTTCTGATTTTTTCAGCTTCCATTCAAGTTTCCTCCGCTTTTCGTGGCCCTGTTCGCTCAACAGTATTTTTTAGCAAAAGAACAGTATTTTTCTCTCACAACAAATCAGTATAAGCCAAATTTCAGCGAAGGCCGGCTTCTTTGAATTCCTTCGCTTTTTACGACCTTTCGCTCTCTCCTCGTCTCCCGCTTTCCCAGAGAAATTTTAATATTTAACCCTGAGTTTGCACGCATCTCAGTATTTGACATCCAATTCGTAAGCCTTTCAATATTTGACCATGCGCATGTGAATTCTTTCGATCCAAGGGATTTCTCAGATTTTCTCTTTTTTCTATTTCTAAATATCTCTTCTCACTCCTCACGACATGGGAAATGACAAAACTACCCATGCATCCTTATCAACCGTTCGCATTCCTTCATCGTGATCGCGATCAAGACGGAGGAGCGAGGCTCGTGGACACCTCCGCTTTGACCCGCTTTTTCTTTCGGTGGTCGCCACTTGTGCCGGGCCGCCTGGTCGAGTTCACCTCTCCGCATGCTCAGCCCCCCTCCGCTGGGAAGCGCGACAAGCGGTCACATTGCTCGACTAGCCGTCGCCTCTTCCTCCTCCGTGGCCACGGCCGACCCCGTCACCGCCCCCCCCACCAACCAACACCGGTTGATGTCGTCATCAGATACTAGTTCTAGTCGTCGCGATCGCCCTCCACCTCCATCACTCCGCCACGCATGCACATGTGGTGGCCATCAAGGTTGGGATCCGCCGCCCTCGATCCGGTGGCCGCCACCAGACGGACGGGTGGATACGCCACATAACACGATCGATCGTGGCCGGGAGCGCAAGGCCGACCACCACCGATTCTTGTGCATGATGTCTGCTGCAGCAGCTCAATCCGGTCATGCATGCCAACATATACCATATACGCGAAGTGGTTATCACACATGTCTAGCTAGGTGGATTTAGATTAAGCTAATACTACTACTAACATGCATCGAGCCCGTACTAACACGATGTTAGCTTAGCCAAAAAAATTCACATCAAGCACCGGCCATATGCCTGACGAAGACAAAGACCAAGGCGGCCGAGACGATGTCGGGAGAAAAGCACCGAGGGAACCGAGGCGCTAGGCGAGCATCTAGGTCACATGATAAGAGTGGAGGGTAGTATCGTCAATTCCCATGTCCTAAACAGTGTAAAGAGGCAACTAGAAATAAGAAATGATAGAAATCATTCGTAATCCCTTAGATTGAAATAATTCACGTTCACATGATTAAATATTGAAAGGCTTGCGAATTAGATCTCAAATACTGAGAGGCGTGTGAACCCGGGGTTAAATATTGAAATTTCTCCTTTTCCCCCACGTCTCCTCCTCTACCCCCGTACCCCAGTCTGCGGCAGTTTCCAATTTCCCATCCCCATCCCCATCCCCATCCCCAAAACCCCCAAACCCTATTCGATACCAAAGCGGAAGAAAAAGAAAAATTGCACGCGACGACGCGACGGTGAAGGGAAGGGAAGGGAAGCAGGAGCGAGAGACAAATCCCCACTCGGCTCCAAACCCTAGCCACCTCCCCCGTCCTCCCCCTTCGTTCCCCAGATCTCGCTGGCGTCTGCCCCGCCTCCCCTCGATGTGACCCGGCCCTAGGGTTTGAGACGGTGTCGCGGTGGGGGGTGTTCGCGGCGATTTGCGACGCGAGTGGGATTCGTGGTGGCGTCGGCGGCGCGAGCGCACATGAAGGACCCGGCGCACCGCACGAAGGTGGTGCTCCGGCGGCTGCCGCCGGCGATCGCGCAGCAGGCCGTCCTGGACCAGGTCGACGCGCGCTTCGCTGGGCGGTACGACTGGGCGTGCTTCCGCCCGGGCAATACCAGGTCCGCGCTCTCTGCGTTTCCAGTGCTTGTGGCGTTGCTGTGGGTGGGAGTAGGTCCGTAATTAGGACTTGTGGTACTATCCTGTTTAGCCTATGAACCATGGTAGGAAGCTATTATTGCGATGTCTCTGATTACGTTCCGTTTGCTAGTTCTAGTGTACTCTTCTCGCAAGCAATTAGCCTGCTCATCAGTGTATTATGGAGGTAGAGCCGTGAGATTAGTTACTGAGTTGTCGAAATTTACTTTTCTCTGATTGTGGTGACCTAATTATTTTCTCTGGCTTGCAATAGCCTAGGAGAGTTTCTGAGGTATCTGAATTATAGTTAAGGTCTGTTCAAAGTTTAACTTTATTTGCCTTAGCATTGATTGCTACTGAAATGTTAGTCAGAATTTAGAACTAAGTTGCCTTCTTAGCTGTTTCTCTCTGTTGATTGCATCGCACAATCTGTATCTGACCTACCTGTGCTTTTGATAGAGTTTAAAAGGGCTAAAATCATTGGTTAGGGCAGGTTCATTTTTTCATTCTATCTTTGTTGCTTCTGGACTCATTATATAGAGAAAGTTGCTGAGAAGAATTAAATCCAGCTGAAGTTTAGAACTACCTTTTCATATTCAACTTTCTTTGCTTTGCAGTAATTGATTACTGGTTAGTGATTTCCTCTGGCCGTTTTATATATTAGTTTAATGTTACAGGGACTTGTATCTACATTAGAAGAATTTGGTAGGAATTTCTTCTTGAGCGATTCATGTTTTTTACTGATTTGCCTATCCAATTGATTAGTGCTTATATTGATCTGTTTTGGCACTTCCATCTCCTTGTTTTCACAATGTGTTATGCAATATATTTCCTTTTATTTATTAATAACAATAAGTTACAGTCAAGTTTTCTGTCAGTAACACGTCCCCCATGATCAATATATTTTTTCTTCCTGATCTTGGTTGGGGACTGTTTACTTCGTATATAGCAATTTGCTTCTTTGCTTAATTTTGAAGCTAAATGATGGTGACATTCTTCTTTCTCCCTTTTTATCCAGCCAAAAGAATCATAGGTATTCTCGACTTTACCTTAATTTCAAGCGCCCAGAGGATGTTGTTGAGTTTGCTGAGGTCTTCAGTGGGCACGTATTTGTGAATGAAAAGGGTATTTTCTTCATCTTGTTGAATTTTGTCCATGATAATCTATATTCAGGATGTGCACCTTATATACATTTTAATTTGATCATATTGTGCCAACTCCATCAGTTACAAGCACTGACTATTCAATTTTTTTAATATCAAAAACTATTTGTCCTTAAGTGACATACCCATTCATTGTTCACAACTCCTGCGATCTAAATTTATCATGGGTGCACGCCTTATCATCTTCTATGTGGCGTCACAAACACAAATTGATGTTAAATCTTGATGCTTGATCGTTTACATAACCATTATACTGAAAGTTGTATATGATTGGGTCTAGTTATAGTTAGCTTCCTATTGATTGGGTCTAGTTATAGTTAGCTTTCTAGAACACTGTCTACTTGACCTGTTGGTGTATAGGATTCTGTTTTCCCTTGGTGAGTGTGGAAGAAGAGATCCAAGAGAAACACACTAGTGAAAATTCGGTATGAAGGAAATTTTGAAATTGAATTGGATGTACTTACATAAGGTTGCAGCATTGCTAGCACATGAACGATGACATACTGACATTAATCTTGTCCTTGACGTTATTGTGCTTGTTGATCCAACTTAGGTCAGTGCTAATGGTGGTGGCTGGAAGCAAGAACAGCATATGTTGGCTTGATAATATTTCTTGTACAGTGTTATATTGTTATGCTGAAACAGAAATAAACTACTTACCAGTGTATTAAATTTGGTGCTTTTTTTGGCAACTGTAGACCACGTGTGTTTGTAGATTTTTTTGGGGGAGTGTCATTTATGCTCTGCTGTGTAAATTGGGTCTCATGGATGTTGCGTATGGTTCTGTCAGGTGCTCAATTTAAAGCTTTCGTGGAATATGCACCATCACAACAGGTTCCCAAGTCAAATATCAAGAAGGATGGCCGTGAAGGAACTATTATGAAAGGTCTTAGGCAATCACTTTACCTAATTCTTTGCCCAATTGTATCGTTCTATCATATTACCATTTTCCTAAACTTGGATTTTGTTGTTTTGGAATTACTAGATCCAGAGTACTTGGAGTTTCTTGAGCTTATTTCAAAGCCTACTGAGCATCTGCCTAGTGCTGAAATTCAGCTTGAAAGGAAAGAAGCTGAAAGGGCAGGTAGAATATGCCATCATTACTTTCTATTCATAATAGTACTCCCTCCATTCCAAAATATAAGACATTTTGGCTTTGCTAGATACATAGCTTTTGCTGTGCACTTAGATATACACTATGTCTAGATACACACTAAAAACAATGTATCTAGAAAAGCCAAAACATCTTATAATTTGGAATGGAGGAAGTATTTGCTATATCGACGCGTCTTTCCAAATATGCCAAGCATAAAATGGGGTTGTCACATTTGGTTATTTTTGTCAGCTGCTGGAAAGGAGGCACCTGTTGTGACACCTCTTATGATGTATGTCCGCCAGCAAAGGGCAGCTAAGAATATGGCTCAGGTACATTTATTCCTCAACTGATAACATAGGGCTATTCTTTATCAACTTGTTAACTAGCTACTGTTTTCTTAAATTGCAGAGACCTGGAAGTAGACTTAGCAGAAAAGTTGCAGGTGTCGTAACTAGCAGTTCCAGTCCTAAAAGGTCTTCTGAGAAGCGCAGATCCTCCACGGTAGCATGCTTTATTTGGAGCTTTCTGTTTTTTTCTGATAAAACTTTCTATTCTCAGTTTATAATTTCTTTGACATAACGGGTGTACCTTCACATGGGTGCCTATGTTGGCAATATTCCTTTGTTCAGTAAGATTCGTTCCGTATGGTACTAACTCATCATTATGTTTTTCCTCATTCATCAGATGGTCCCTGATGTACTATGCTTACGGTTTACGGTTTACTGTATTTATGAAAAATAGCACAATTGCTCTTATTTCTATATCTCTGGTTTCTGTGCATAATGTGCTCCTTGTATAATTATATACTTTAAATGAACTCACTAAAATTGGTTCCTTTTAGGTGATAGTTGCATAGTTATTTTTAATTCAACTCCTATAGTCCTATGCATGTATGTTTCCATGATATTCAATTGAGGCACCACCAAACCTTTAGTTAATTTGAAATTTGAACTATTTGTGTCGTTATTTTCTATTTTGTAACAAGACCTACTGATCTGCTAGAAGCTTAAAGTTCCATAGTTTGTTGTTCTGATAATGACTAGCTGTTGAGACTAAACAACAAATGCTACCCTCCTTTTGTTATGTGAAATAAATTGTGACCTGAGGTTCATAATCTTGCTGCCTTTTTTTATTTTCTCGAGCAGTATGTTGTACGAGACAGTACTAAGGAGAAGCCAACCTATATCATGGTGCCAAAGAGAGAGGAGCATACACAGAGAGAAAAAACTGCTGCTGGAAATTCAGGTGGTATGCTTGTACCAAATCAAGAAATTGCTAATTGTAGTACTTTTGCTTTTTTAACTATCTCTCCCAGTATGTCTAATGTTACCAGGTATTACTGACGATTTTTTTTGCTAGTACCTAACCTTGCCTATAGTGCTGCCTATAGTGCTGCTAAATGTTGTATCTTGTGATGTATGGACTATTGCACGCTGTCTGTTGAGGGTGGATAATGAGCCAACTGCAGTTTTTTTAGCTTTCTTCGATATTGTCATAATCTTATTTACCATGATCTCCTGAATTATTGGAGACCCAACTTCAGACCGAGCTTAACGAGCTGAGCCAAAGTCAAACGTCACTCAAAATCAACACATTTTTATTTTATTTTTAATAAAAGAAAAATGAGTTCAATCGGAGCATCTTTTACACGAGCAACCGATCCAGCTCAACGAGTTTTTTGTCCAGCCTCACTGTTTGTGATCCCTTGTATTGCAATTTCACCCAAGGCACTATATATGGGAATGGTATCTCAGATTCCGAGTTTAGCAGCACCGATTAAGGGCATTATTGATGTTGCTTTGCGTTGCTGCATGGTGAAATTGTCTATATATGTGAGCCTTTACCATTTAGAGAAAAAAATGCTTCAGAAGTTAACATATTTCTAAAATTAGCAGAAATAGGTAGTGTTTGTTAAGAGCCAGTGCAACGCTAAAATCATCCTTTAACATGCCACATGGAGGATTTTTGCTTTTTGATTGGGTTGCTTTTTGAAGGGCAGGCCTGGTGCAGTGGTGAGAGCTGTCTCACTGAGTTACCAGGTCGTGGGTTTGAAGCAGCCTCTCCACAGATTTTGCGGGGGAAAGGCTTGTCTCGGTTTATCCCTTCCCCAGACCCCACTCATGTGGGAGCCTCCGGCACTGGGTCTGCCCCTTTTTTATTGGGTTGCTGGCGTGTTGCAGTATACTATGTAAAGAGGTTACACTTTTGGTACTACCGATTCAGTCCAATTATGGGAATGATAACTGCCTTTTGTATTTGGTGACATCATTTACGTTTCCTAATGTTACGCTACTTCTCTAATTCTAGATAAGGATGTGTTCTCTTTTCATACAATTTATTTTTCCTGAACATGGTCTGTTTCTTTTCGAGAAAGGGAAGCTAATTTGCTCGTCTCTGTCATGTTTATGGCTGCTCGTCCAATTTTTCAGCTTATTACACGTTCTCTGAGTGGTGCGTTTTTCTATGTTAATAATCTTTTTGTTTTGTAGATGCCACAAGTGGGGGAACAACTGGATCTGGTCAGGCTGCTGAGGCTAAAAGGGGCAAAATTGTCATTTTGAAAGGAAGAGGAAGGGTTGATTCTAACGTAAGTTGATATTTTTGCAGTTTTATTATTATGGACCTATGTTTGATCAATTTTTACCACAGACACCTGATGGAGCAACTCAGCAGTCATCAACCCCTGTGAAGAATGTACCACCATCGAGTTCTAGACTAGACCAGCGACCTGAAGCCAGTGGAAGAATTATTAAAACTATACTTTCAAACAAGGAAGTCCGCAGTTCAAATCCATCTCAACATGAGCAGGAAGCTCACGTGTTTAATACTGAGAAGGATAAGCGGCTACCACGGGCTCTGAACCCTCGTACCATTGTGAAAGATCAGGTAGTTGAAAATGCTGAGAGAAGCCATTTTGATGAGAAGACTAGTCATCTCCACGGATCTGCTCCAATTGGTGAGAAGGTTGAAAGGCATGCCAGAAACAGAGATAGACCCGATCGTGGTGTATGGGCACCTCGCCGCTATGACAAATCTACATCGGGGGGTGGTTCACATGCCTCGTCGTCAGATTTCCCTCAAATGCAGTCACATTCTGGAGATAATGTCTCGCAACTAGCAGATGGTATGTAATTTGCTGAAATGATTTCACCGTTGGCGATGCCTGGAGTCTCTTAACTTGAACTTAACGCAGGTCATGGAGACAGAAAGACAGACACAAGGGGTCATGGTGGTAGCCGTGGTGTTCCTGTTGAAAATGGTTTGTATGCAAAAATAAAATGTGTACCTTTTCTAGATCAGTTTCATGACGCAGTTTTTAATCCAGGACATAGGCATGCCAACCGTCGTGGTCCCCCACGTGCTCCAAAGGAAACCGAGATATCTGCTAGCGTGTCTGATGGAAAGAATTCAAAGAGGGGCTCTGCTAGCTATGGTGCTCATGAGGTGTGATTATTTTGTAATTTCTTATTTTCCCACCAGTTGGTCAAGGGCGTGAAGGGCAGGCCTAGTGCAGTGGTGAGAGCTGTCTCACTGAGTCACCAAGTTGCGGGTTCGAAGCAGCCTCTCCGCAGATTTTGCGGGGGAAAGGCTTGCCTCGGTTTTTCCCTTCCCTAGACCCCACTCATGTGGGAGCCTCCGGCACTGGGTCTGCCCCCCTTTTTAGTTGGTCAAGGGCGTACTCAAACCACCCAAGTTCAAGTCCTTATCGAGGAGAATTTGTGTTCATATTTATTAATTAAAAAGCCACTTAGTTCATCCTGGGTTGGTCGAGTATAATTTTATTTCTTGTACCATCGCTGATTTCAGGGATCTTTGATTTATGTTCAAAATTTTTCATCCAAATTTAATACCATGAATGCCATGTGCAGAGACAAGTATGGGTTCAGAAGTCAAGTTCAGGCTCGTGAGTTTGTTCATTGATTGACGGTATGCTGTGCTACTCTAGTTTATTCATTGTCGTCAAGCCCTTCTTTGGATAGCTATAACACTACAATGATCCTTGCCAGCGCCATCAGTTGTACATTCTGCTTCTTATATTTTTTTGTGGAACATTGCTGGTGGAATAGCCAAATCCATCCCTGAAGTCCCTTCTCAAAGGTCCATTTGCTGCAAGTTTCATTGTTGGCTCAATATAGTCCCCAGGCTAACATGGAATGGCACATGTGTGCACCCATTAGCACGATGTTAGGATGGTCTCTGCATACATGCTACCACATAGTAAAATGATTCCTGTTAGATCATACGACTTACAAAGTTGTTCTTGTTCCATGCATTCTACCAGTTTTGAATCTAATATTTACTTTCCACTTTATCCTCTGATATGTGGTAACTAGGTGACATTATTTGTACAGATTTTGTTCTTGTTAGATGACACAACTCGCTAAATTGCTCTTGCTCCTGCATACCAGATTACCAGTTTAAATCTATTCTTTTAGACTGCATTATTCCCCGATATGGGGCTAATGAGAGATTTCACACATATTGACACCTAGGCCACTCACAGCTGATGACTAGGTGCACACTTGGTGCTCCACATTAGCTAGGTGACCTGATTGAGCCAAAGACAACTTTGTGGGACTTGGCTGAACCATTTAGAACCTTAGGGAAGAAAGTGAACCTGTGGTGAAACTTCATGGAAGAATTTACCCATTCTTTCAACATTGTTATGAATGTGTTATTTCCATAAGTGGTCTTGAAATATCTGGAATCTGTACACCAGTTTCCTGCTAACTCGCTAACTCTTTTGCAGATACTCCCATCAAAACAGGTATTGCAAGTCGTGGAGGAAGTCTTGGATTCTGCAGCGCATTCTTCTTTGTTAGCTGTTGATCCTGTGAAGTATGTTAACAAAATGTCCAATGGTCAAATGCTGCCATGAAGTGCAATCTCAGATTTGTCAATCGAAGTCTCAGCTATAGCTGAAAAGAGAGCTTGCTGATTTGATTCACAGAAATAGTGAAGTAACATAACCCGGCATGTAGGTAGCTCTCGGCAACTTTGGGCAAGATTTGATTTGGGCCCAAGGTTGATATTTCTGGAGCAATGGATGGAGATTAGGTTGGCATCAGTACCTCACTACCTCGTGACAGTGGTCACATATTTCCAAGACCCCTGGAGGCTACACACCCCCTCAGCAATTCGTCAGAGATGGATGTAAATATCTCCAGAGAAAGAAGAGGTCTGGTTCTGATTGCTGTTTACAGGTTAGAGGTGCAGCGTATTTACAAAGAGATATAAGAGTTATCACTTATCAGACTACCTGGTTTGCTAAATAAAGGTGAATTTAGTTACTAGATTATGAGACCCCGTGTTTTGACTGGTGCAATCGTGGGTTCGCGGCAGCAGAAAGGTTACCTAGAGTGTAAAAGTGGCATCTCATTTTGGTGGTTCTGACTAAATGGGATGTGACGTGTGGAGTTGTTTTGGCGCCTGGTGTGTGCTTTGCTGTCATGTTCCACCAGATGACCCGGGGGTTCTGTCGTGTTAGGGATGAAATGCTGTACAGAATCAAAGGTGCTTACTGTTTCAAAACTTAAAAGTGGTGATGTTGCCTGGCTTTAATGGTTGATGGTATCTGTTCTTATGTGCACTCCGTCATTTAAAGTTAAAATATGGATCTGTCTACGGAGTGTTTTAAAATATGGATTTGTCTACGGAGGCGTCGAGCAGCGTGCGGTCCCAATGATTCGTGTGGTGAGACGCCTTGAGTTGAGGTCATTGACGATGGCCTCCGTATCGGGACGACAGGGACCCAAGTCGGTGACGGTGGCTTCCAGCACAGTGACGCGATCGTCACGCTCCGCGTTGATGTGTTCCACGCGCGATTCAAGATCCGTCGGGCGCTTTTTGATGGTGGTGGCAAAATCGACGTGGGAAGACTTAAGCCAGAGATAAGGGAGTTCTTCCCTTTGGGAAAGACGACCAGCCTTATGGAATGTTATCCCTGTCTAAGCGCGCTACCCTGAGATCGGACTCGAAGGGTAGTAAGACATTCCTTCGGGATGCCACTGAGTTTGGCGATGCGCTCGTCGATGAGTGTCTCGTGGACGAGGCACGTAGACTCAAGGTCAGCCAATCGACGCTCCCACTTAGTGTCATGGTCGTCAAAGTGGTGAGCGTCGAGTATGAGCTTCCAATTAAGATGGGACATTTAACTTTTTGCCATCCTTACAAATGGCACTCCTTTGTTTGCTATTTTTACACGGGCATCTACACATTTGTCATCGTAAACAGTAACACTCCTAATTTTTAACCATTTTTGCTGATGTGGCATGCCACGCAGTCAGCCAGCGCGGCAGCGCCTCTCCTCCCGCTGCTCCTTCTCTCTCCCTCCACTTGCTGACATGTGGGCCCCACCAGTCAGGTTCATCTTCAACCTCTGGCCGTTGGGAAGAAACCACCGGTTTCCAGGATGCCCCGCACCAGCCCCGCTCGCCCACGTCGTGGCCGCCCACACCGGCTCTGCTCGTCGCGTCACCACGCCCACGCCGGCCCTGCTCTCCCGCGCTCGAACGCGCCGTCGCGCTCGCCCGCCAACACCGGCACCGCTCTCCCGAGCCGTCCCCGCTCGCCCACGGCGGAAGCGCCGCCACGCCCGCACTCGGCCACGCTCGCACTCGGCCACGTTGGCCGCGCTGCCGTGCCCGCCCGCCCTGGCCTGTCCACGTCGGCCGCGCCACCGCGCCCGCGCCGGCCCTGCTCGCTCGCACTCGGACGCGCCATCGCGCCCGCCCGCTTGCACCGGCACCGGTCGTCCGAGCCGGCCCCGCTTGCCCACGGCGGTCGCACCGCCGCGCCCCGGCCCAGCCCGCATCGGCCGCGTCCGCCACGCTTTGGTTCGGTTGGCAGAGAACATAGGAAAGAGCATCGGAGGGATAAGAGAGAGAGTGAAAAAAGATTCACATTTATTGCATGAAGACCTCTGCACTATGGGGATAGTTTCTCCGGTGGCCAGAGGTTGAAGATGAACCTGACTGGTGGGGCCCACATGTCAGCGAGTGGAGGGAGAGAGAAGCAGCAGCGGGAGGAGAGGCGCTGCCACACTGGCTGACTGCGTGGCATACCACATCAACAAAAATGGTAAAAAATTAGGAGGGTTACTGTTTTGCGATGACAAATGTGTAGGTGCCTGTGTAAGGATGGCAAAAAGTTAAATGTCCCGATTGAGATCCATCGCGCCATGCGCCGCTTGGGAATCAAAGTGAAATAGTTGTGGGAAGAAGTGGGATCCAGGATCAAAATGAGAAACTGATACCGATTGTGAGGAGACAAGCTTAAGGAAGAAGAAGAAGAAGAGAAGCACACGGAGAGAGACGCAAGGACGACACTCTGGCCTGTTCGAATATGAGTTTTTTAGTTTAGATTTTACATGTCTTCTCTACGCTCCTCAATACAGTACATATAAAAGTAAAGAGTTATGCCAGCCGCACGGGCATTCTGCTGATGTGGCATGCCAGCGTGGTATGCATATATTTGTTTTTGATCTTCACGTTTATTTTTCCTTATGAAAATAGACCTTCCTTCTCATTCCTCTCTTTTCTGCTGCTCCTTTCCTTGCTGCTACACAAGGTCACTTCTACAGTGCACCGTCACCGCCATGGTATATATCTCTCAAGGGAAAAAATTGAATGGTTAAATGTAAAAATACATTGCCATGCTAGCATGCCACAACAGTAAGAAATGCCTACGTAGTTGGCATGGACCTGCTGTGCACCACTTAATAAGTTTGAAGACCTAGACATGTATTTTAAAAGTCGTGGTAGATCTATATGACGCACCCTTACAAGTTTGAGGGCCGCTAGTGTATTTATGACTCTAAAGTTTTTTTAAATATAACTCTAAAGTAAAAGTTTTTTTTAAGGAAAACTCTTAAAGTAAAAGATAATCAGTCGATCCACTGTGGGCCTGTAATGCGGCTATTGGACCGTCTGGCTCTCCTGGGCCTGGGCGCGGACGATGCCTCAGCTTCTGACGCGCCATCATCCTTCGCAGCAGCAGACGAAGCAGGGGAGGCCTGGTCGCTGACGGAGCCCGCCCCCGAGCCCCGACGCCGCCATCCGCGCCCCTGCCACCGACTCCGAGCTCCGGTGCCCGCCCTTCGACCGTCGTCCAGCCTTGCACTCGCACGGAGCCGGGGCATTTTTGGGAGGCCCCACGCGCCTGGACGAAGGAGTTGGGGGAAGCCGGTTTTTTTAGCTCCCGCGGACTCTCCTGGCTGTAGAGAGCGCGATTTCCGGGCGGAGCTGCGAGGAGCGGAGACCTCCGACCCCGTTTGGTAGGCGGAGACGCGAAGCTGCGCGTGAAGCGGTTCCAGAATCGCTACCAAACGGGGCCTAACCCGCCCCGGTTTGCCTAGGGTTTGTCCCGTCTCGGAACCGATCAGATCGGCAGGTCGCCGCCGTCGCCGCCGCGATGCAGAGGTACGGACTGCAGATCCGCACGAAGCTGCCATCGTCCTCGTCGTCACGCGCGCCGCCGCCTCCGGCGCGGCCCCTGGCGGCCTTCGCCGACGATGACGACGACGACGTGGAGAAAGAAATCCTCCGCCAGGCGGCCAAGAAGCGCGCCCTCCAGAAGGTAACCTGCTCCACCCACCGGCTCGCGCGTACGCTTCTCCACCGATTTCATGCTAACACATTAGATAATTATTTTTTCTGTCTTCCCCCTTTGTCCGGATGGTGTTGTTGCGCGCTCACAGGTAGAGGAGCAGCAGAAGAAGGCCTTGGAGGAGGATCCCTCGGTGTACGCCTACGACGAGCTGTACGACGAAATGAAAGAGAAGGAAGCCCGTCCTAAGATGCAGGATAAGGTCGTCCGCGAGGTAATTCCTCCATCCTGCCTTTGAGAGTTGTTTTATTTGCTTCATTTATGCTCACCGCGATATGACTGAGTATAGTTACTAGTTAGTTACGAGTACTTTTTAATGAAGAAGACTAGTTGCTAGCTTAGTCTTGCATCCTGATTCTTAGTGCTTGAAGTGGAGCTTGTCGTGTTTTACTTGTTTGTTGGGAAGGAAAAGGAGCATAAGACGTTGCTGTTATGTGGAGGAGGTTTGCCTTGGTGCTTAGCTTGAGAGTTTCCTTGTTTGTGAGATGAATTTTTAATTGAGGGCTAAATAGGGATTGTAGAACTAGCTGAAAATCTCCTATTTGTATTGATCTAATTCCATTTTTTTTTTTGGCAAAAGGCTGTTTGCTTTTGTTGAATGTTTATTGATGCGGGTGTTCGAAAATTAGCATGTCCTATAGATACCTGATTTTTGAATTTTGCACAAGCTTTAACATCGATTAGGTTCATAAAATATACATGGTGATTGATAAACAGATAAGCTGAATAGCAATGGCAAGAACAATGGAGTAACAGTACTACACTACTACTTAGTTCATAAGAACATAACATTCCATATGAAGTTCATAAACCATAGTTTAAGGTCCTACTTACTTCCGAATTAAAAGATACCATTACAGCCCATTCATGAGATCATGACAGTACAATGCAAATGATAAATTGATAAAACATCAATGATGGCAATGCAGATTTCCCGTTGCATGGATAAACATAACAAAAGATGCCATCATTCCAGCTGACTCATTCATCTTCATCCATGTCATCCTCATTGTCAAATTCCTCTTCTTCAGAATCAAATTCCTCTTCTGCATAGAGCTCTCTTATTCTTGAACTGCAGCTCAAGTTCTTCACTTGCTCCCATTGCTTCTCCAATAACAGTCCAATGTATCTCTGTACCAGGCATTTCTTCTTCTTCATCATCATCCTGATAGACAACTGTTGCAAACTCATCTCCACCATCAAACATGAAACCTTGAGCTTGCATGACATCATTGGATAAGAGACCATCACTAATCTTCTTTGACTATCTGTTGTCTCTTGCTCATGAGTTTGGAATTGAATTGTATGAAGACAAGAGCGTTTGGGTGGGCTGTAGTTAGCCTATTTCTTCTCTAAGATTGAGCTCACGAATAGCCTTTTCTTTCCTCTTATTTGATGCTGCATCTAATGCTTTCTTACACTTTGCTTTATCTTCTTCTGTGCTCTTGTGGCATTCAACCACAGATTTCCCAACACCTGTTATATGTTGCTTGAGATGAAAAATCCCCCCCACACTCTCATGTTTACACAACTTGCACTTCACCTTGTTAAGATTGGTAGGATCGCATAGATACCCATATTCCCATCCTACGTCATCTGACTTCCTCTTAAGAGGTAAACTTTCCTCTGTTGCTGACTGGGGTTCTGCTTCTGCTTGTGTCCCAGCAACCTCATCCTATAATTACTTAATTAGTATTCTAGTAATCTCTACAAGGACGAGAAGCAAAGGAATTAGGCATAGACTAACTAATCACTAATCTGTAGTTCTGTACAACACAAACAACCTAACAATCTGTACTTCTGTACAACACAAGCAGAATATAACATGCAGACGTAGGGAGGGAATTAGGCATAAACTAATCTTGCAATCCAAGACTGCACATGCGCACACCTATATGGCACCTAGCATAGCAGTAGCAGTGTAGCACACATTAGGATTCAAAGGAGGGAGGAAGGAGAAGGAGAAGGAGAAGGAAAGGGAGAACCAGAGTGGAGAAGCAGAGGAGAGAGGAGCAGACAGTGAAGAAGTCAAGCAGAGGATCTCACCTTGCCGAACGTGGGGAAGAGAATCGAGAGGACAGGCATCGGAGATGGGGGCGGCCACCACGAGATGCAGGAGATGGGGTAGCTCAGGCCTCGGGGATGGATGCGGGTGTACAGCAAGAAGACGAGGACGCGGGTGCTGGACTTGGGGAAGACCGACAAGCTCGACCTCCTCTGGCAGCGGCGCGGGTCTTCACCTCCGTCCTCCGCTTTCTTCTGCTTTTATCCCCTCCTCTCCTGTGCGTCCGAATCGAACTCCTGCACGACCAAATCGAGCTCCCACGCGACCAAATCGAGCTTCTGCACAGTCTTTACCTGGGTCGTTTGCGCATGCAATCCATCTCCCGCGCTGCCTCCCACGGTCCCGCCCGGTTGCTGGCTCGCTGAGCAGTGCTTCCGCGGCGCTTTTCTCCGCCTAAGCGGCTTCAGTGCGCACCCGTGCCACTTAGGGAGCGCTTATGGCCCAAAGCGACGCAGTGACCCCCCGCGTAGCGCTTCAGCGCGCTTTAGCGCACACTTAATAGTGCTTTTTGGAATCCTGCATGCTATATTGGATGCAACTGATTACTGACCTGTATTTGAGTGGAAGCTTTTCCAAAGTGGTTCTTGGTTCAACATTCCATATGCTAACATGATATTTTCCTTGTTCTTTCTGACTTGTGCCACTAGTTCTGAGTTTTATTCTTGTTTGATATTTCATTTTTTAATACAATGCATCTCCTTTGAACAGTCAAAGTATATTGCACAACTTAAGGAAAAAGCAGAGCTACGCAAACGAGAACAGGATATAATATACGAGAGGAAGCTTCAGAAAGAGAGAAGCAAGGAGGACCACCTCTTTGGGGACAAGGATAAATTTGTAACATCTGCCTACAGGAAGAAACTTGAGGAGCAACAAAAGTGGCTTGAAGAAGAGAGAATGAGGCAGCTTCGAGAAGAAAAGGAAGATGTAAGTTTTATTCATTTGTTTGCTGTTATCCTCTGTACCTGCATTTTTGTATTCATGAGTTCCTATTTGAATTACTTCTTTATGTTTCTTTCAGGCTGCATTTTTACCTCTGTACTTTATTCAAAGATATGGATATATTCTACTTATTTCCACGTCTAGTTCACCTTGCTGAATTACGTGTAAATTGGGTGGCTACTGCATCCTGTTGAGATTTGTGTTTTATGATATATCATCAAGTTTCTAGTTTGAATTAAGTTGTTTTTACATGTGGCTACGTGCCACCTTTGTGGCAACAGACTATGAATGAAGGGATTTTGGTGCCTATGAATTCTGATGCCTTACTGGCCTTTTAGCTTATCCCTTACTTCAGGACTATATTTATTTCTAGCAAATGATTTAATTTGTTTCTGCAATGGTGCAAGCGGTAGAGTCTTACCTCCTGTGACCGGAAGGTCCCGGGTTCGAGTCGCGGTCTCCTCGCATTGCATAAGCGAGGGTAAGGCTTGCCACTGACACCCTTCCCTAGACCCTGCACAGAGCGGGAGCTCTCTGCACTGGGTACGCCCTTTTGTTTCTGCAAAATATGATCTGCTAACTGTAAATGCCTCTTAGCAATTTGTCATTTGTCTGTCATGCCTTCCCTGTTCACAATATTATTGACAGAAATGCTGGTTTTCCTCATGTTCATCTGCAAATCAGATTGCCTACCAAAAGGAACTGCATAACCGTTTTTCAGCCATAGTCTGTTGGCTAATTTTTTTTTCCATCTGTCTTTTCTAGGTTACTAAAAAGAAAGACTTGAGTGATTTTTACTTTGGGCTTGAGAGGAATGTTGCTTTTGGTGCACGGACACATGGTAACACAAAATGTGCTGACCCTCAAAAGTCGGACAATAAACTGGATGACACAAATACTAGTAGTCTTGGTGCTGAAGCCTCTGAACCTTCTCCAAAGCGTAGAAGAGAAACCAGTGTAGGATCGGAGGGGACTAAGAGTATGGAAGAACCCTCGGCAAGTCGAACGAGGGATTCAACAGCTGCTGCATCTACTGAGAAAAATGCTGCTGATGTTCCATCAAATGCTAAAGAGACCCCACAAAACACTCAGCCAGCAAAGGTTACTGATGATCACTACAAGAGAGGTGATGATGCACTTGCTGCTGCTAGAGCGCGAGCACTGGCCCGAAAGAAATCAAAGGAGCAGCAATTGTGAAGTACAAGGCAGAAAAGTTTACCGATCCTTGAGGCATAATTTCATATTTTATTTAATAGGATTGTGTAAAGATGTTATTTGATAACTTCCTTGCACCTTGAAAAGCATTTTATTTGTAGATGATGCATATGAGGATATCTATGTTGTAAAATGACCCCTTGACGTGCCATTTTCTGCGAGTAAAATTGGTGTTTTGACTCGTCAACTAGTTTGAAAAATCAGGACTCAGGCTGGTAGAGTTTATGGAAGTTACTGCATTTAATGAAGTGACCTCAAAAGGTTATTTGTAGATCTATTATTTCTTCAAGCCAATCTTAACGGAGTACTCCCTCCATACTAAAAAAAAAAGTCATTTTGTATAGCGACACGGTTTTCAAAGCATAACTTGGACTACTTATTTTTATAAAGATATTTATCAAAAAGTGATATATGTAATTTTTTATGAAAATATTTTTCAAGTTAAATATATACATATGGTTTTCACATTTTCAAACTCAACGACTTAAAAGTTATTCATGATTTATATTCTCAATATTTAACCCGAGTCTTTGTCAAAATGACTTCATTTTTTATATGGAGAGAGTATGTCATATCAATCTTAACGGAGTATGTCATATCAATAAATAGTATTTGATGCATAGGTGAAACAACCTTGTACAGTTAATAGTCTCGTTTTTGTGTTTCACGTATACTTCCTCTGTTCTTTTCATATACTCTGTTCTTTTTTAAATGTTACATTAGGTTTGTCCTAAGTCAAATGTTATTATTTTTCAACATCAATTTCAAAAAATCCTTATATTTACGACATATAAAATATGTATTATGAAATTATTTTTCATATTGAATAAATCTTACTATGTCATGAAACTATATTTAAAAAAACTGATGGTCAAAGATACAAGTGTTTGACTTAGGAAAAATCTAATACAATATAATGCAAATTAAAGCGAAGAGAATACTACTAATTGCATTTAATTCTGATGCATAAACTTGAAAATAGTACTCATTGCATTTAATTCTAACACAAAAAACTTGAAAACAGTGTTTACAAGGTTCAATCTAGGAGAAATTCATTTCATCTTTCTTATCATCAGAATTGATAATTCTATGTGGCACAACAATGAGAGTGACCCTTATATAGTTATATCATCCCATGTTTAACAAAATACTGGTCATAGAATGATTGCTAATTGTTATCCATTTAGGGTTTGTTTGGCTACACACGACAGACCAATCGACATGGGTTGAGAGGTATTGGAGTGGGTTGGTGGATAGCCAAGCTATAACACCACCGTAAATCATTTACCAAAATATGTCATGAGCATCATGTTTATGTGTTAATGTATGTGATAAAGTGTGTAGATCAATTTCTGTGACTTGAAATGATCAACTAAAATGCAAAACGAAAATTTAATCAATAGTCATGTTATATCGCTTAAGGTTGAAAATTAATTTTTATTAAGCAAAAATGCTATATAACATATATGTGTCACCTTAATAAATTTGAAAGTACAAACTTTGTAGATGACAATAAAATACTTGCGGTCGAAAAATGATATTACTAGCTAATATTTCCACTACCTTAGAAATCGCAAATGGAAATCAAATTCAGCTCTAAAACTAAGAAATTTTCAAGTCTGCCGACTGCTAGACATTGCTATGTTTAACAATTTATTATGAGAGATTGGGTTCAAGGGTGGTGTAGTGTTATAGCTCGATTTGGTAGTCTCATGTGCCATCTTGAGCATGGTGAAGACGGTTTAGCTTTAGGAGCAACCGTCTGGTCGCGTTGAAGACTTTAAAATTCGTGCGTGTCATGGTTTTAGACTGGTTGGCCGCGATCACCGCGCTCAGGCGCTCGGTGTCGTCGCGTTGGTCGCGCGTGTGCGTGCGCACGCTGCCGCGCGTGGCCGGCTGTGGCCACCTCTGGCCTGACCAGGTCTCGGCTGCCGCTGGCCCCGCCGCGCGGAGCCGCTGCTGCTGCTGCCGACTGCCCCGCACGTGCCGCTGCCGGTGCCATCAACTCGCCATCGTGTCCGTATTGCCGACGCTTCTCGCGTCGCGACACTTCTGCTACCGACACCACTACGACGCTGTGCTGTTGCCGCTTGCCTTGTCCTAGTTCGCACGTGGGCTACCCCGCGCCGTCGTCTCGCCTTAATGGCGCTGCAGCCGCGCATGCCGCGCCCCCACCTGCCCCCGCGCGCATGTATTTTGGTCGCAGTGTCGTGTAGCGGGTGCGCAGACGCCGCCCTAAGTCTGGTCGGCCACGTCCCGCCAAGGCGTGGACGAGCCAAACCCACTACCGCGCCCGTCTCTCTCTCCTTCTGCTTTCCGCCGCCGTCGGGTCGCGTCGCGGTGAAGCCAGAGAGCGAGCACCTCTCATCAATTCCTCGTGCTCGCGTCTCCGCCTTCACGCCCCCTCTCCAGCCGACCCCACCCCGCCTTGACTCGTGTCACACCGAGCTCCAATTTTGGAGCTTTGCCGTCGCCGTGCCGTTAAGGCCCGTCGTCGCCCGTGTCATGGCCAGTCTCAACCAATTTGCCCCGCGCCAATTCCTCTACACCACTAGCTCACCTTGGCTCTCTCTTCATCGTGCGCACGCTAGTCGCAGCTCTAGTGTCGTCGCCTTGTCGCTAACGTGGCCGTGCCTTTGCGGTCCGTCGTTCACTTCGCAGCGCGCATGTGGCCAGCCTTGCTCAGGTCATCTCCGGCCGAGCCGGCTTCTCGGTAAGGTTATTGGTGAGTGGTCGTTCCTCACCTGCTACCCCTACTGCCTTGTTGTTGCTGCAGTTCATCTGAACACTGTCGCCATTGTCGTAGGGTGCCCGCCGTCGTGGAGAGGTCCCTCTACAGCGTCCCGGCTCGTGCAACCGCCTCCCATCGTCTCGCGTTGAACCCTAGGTGAGTGTCGGCCTCGTAGATAGGTCAGCGAGTGTCCCGTATGGCCGGCGTAAGCGCCAGTGCCACCGCTCATCGCGCCGAGGTGAGCGGGGATGGCCGGAGGCCTTGCCGTTGTAAAGAGGAGAAAGATCTGAAGGTTTCGTTGCAAAGTCACTGTCTATAGAAATAGTAACGTGGACTGCAGGTTGTTTTGCTCATAGTCCAGGGGCGTCTTTACAAGAGTGCCGGTGCGCGCGGGCTTCCTCGCCGCAGGCTGCCTCCGCGCATGGGCCACGCCTCACCTGCGGGCCGCCACGCGCTTGCGCACGTGCGTTGCGCCGCGTGGGCCGCGTTGGGCGAAATTGAGTTTATATTTTTCGTGGAGAATAGAAATAGATTTTTATTTTAATTCTGAGCTGAACTTTGGTAAATCATATAAAATCATGTAGGTATCCAAAAATTGTGAAACTAATTTTGTTAGTTCCTAAATTTATGCTATATCTGTTGGTGTATTTAGTTCATATATATATATTTGTTGATACCATGAACTATTAAATCATTTGAGAGTGCTTAATATTATTAGGTTAAATATTGTAGGAATTTTTGTGGTAATATGGTGATAGATGTAGCTTTGAAAATTTTACAGTAGCTTTATGGTATTATTATGTGCTCACTGTAATTTTTGTAGCTTTAGAATAGACTTAACATAAGGGTAGTTAAATGTTATTTGTTTCAAATATATATTAAATCATTAGTAGAAATAAAGATATATCCTTCATTTGTAAAGCTAGGTGTTTGTTAGTTGAACCCAACACTTTACTTGATGAAGATGATAGTTAGCTTAGTATCTTAGTCATTAGAGCTAGCTTAGTCATTAGAGCTTAGAGTCCAAGTTTGGACGGGGACCTGGACCCCTTGATAGGAGAGTGGTGGGTTTGTCCTGCTTGTGCCTGGGGTATAAGCGGGGCGTGTGTTTTGAGGTACCCAACTGGGCTACATTGGTTCTTGAATCGCTGTGTAATACGGCACGACTTGTCTACGATCTAGCACCGTAGTAAGAACTGGAAGATGAAAGATGGTGAAATAGATCTGATTGTTCAACTCTTACTTGAAAGTAGAACATGTGCTTACATAGAATGGTTAGCTAATAAACTAATCATGACTACTAATAAAATATACATAAGGATTCACTACTAGTAATGTTTTTTACAAAAAGGAAACCCAGCAAACCATAAAGCCTATCATATCCTTTGGAGTCAAGAAATTATTCCCACTAGTTGGGTAAGTCTTGCGAGTACATTGTGTACTCAGGGTTTATTTTATCCCTGTTGCAGGTGTGAAAGGGTCGAGATGGCGGACTAGAGGAGGGGTGAATAGTCTTTTCTAAAATTAATCGCGTCGGCTAACCGATACAAATGCGGAATTAAAACAATCGGTCTAACCAAGACTACACTCCTCTATATATGTTCACTAGCACCTTGCTAAGACACCAATTATGCAACAAAGGTGTCGGGCTAGCTAGAGCTCTCCTAAATAATTTTAAGAGCAAGGTTACACAAACCTATGCCACTAGTATTTTAAGCAATAAGAGAGCTCCTACACATGCTAGTAACCAAAAGCACAAAGCTAACTATGCTCACTAGCAATGCTCAATAACAAAGGCAACCAATGCTTAATTAGAGAGCGCAAGTACTTAGCTACACAAACTAAGCAATGTGACTAACAAGGTTACTAAAACCAAATTAGCCACGCAAGGGAGCTACTTCTATGCTACACAAGCAAGAAGGTAATTAGCAAGCTACACAAGCTATCTAATTACAAGAGCAACTACACAAGCTTAATATATATGAAAGTAAATGCAAGCTTGTGTAATGGGGATGCAAACCAACGGGAGGAACAAGGTTGACATGATGATTTTTCTCCCGAGGTTCACGTGTTTGCCAACACGCTAGTCCCCGTTGTGTCGACCGCTCACTTGGTGGTTCGGCGGCTAATTAGCATCACCCGCTAAGCCCGCACGTCGGGCACCGCAAGAACCTACCCCTTGAATGAGGGTAGCTCAATGACATATTTTACTAGAGTTGCTCTTCATGGCTCCCGCGGGGCGAGCACAATG